AAATGCTATGAGCGAAAGAGAATAAGGGAACGTGGAGGTGGCTGGCACTGGGGGTAGTGGGGCAATATTAGCCAGGCTGGGCTGAAACAATGGGAGGCCATGGACCAAACAGGGGGCAGAAGGAGAGGAGTCTGAGAGGCAGGCAAGGAAGGATCAGAAAGGGTTTGGGTTTCACTCCAAGTGCTATGGGAAGCCACTGAAGTCTTAGGAAATGGCATAAACTCATTTGTGTCTTAAAATAATTAAAATAAAAATCACTTGTGCTTTAAAATAATAATAGACATTAACTCATTTGGTTTTTAAAATAATAATAAAACTCATTGGTGTTCTAAAATAATAATCATCATAATAACAATGAATGGGTGACAAAAGTAAAAGCAGGGAGGTCACTTAGGAGTCCATTTCAGGTGAATGCTGACGGTGGCCTGTACAAGGCGGTAGAGGTGAAACGTGAATAGAATTAAGTGTGCATGTTTTTAAACTGAGCCTACAGAACTTGCTCATGCATTGGAAGGGTGTGGGCGGTGACAGAAAAAGAACAATCAGGATGCGAAGACTTGGGGAAAATGCCTTACAAGTCCAGTAACATAATAATCTCTTAACCATACACCATCCATTGAATCAACGTAACACAAACTATGCACCAAAGGCAATAATCACCTTCTCTTAAAACAACCAGGTAGTTTTGCAAATTGATAGAATTTTATGTTATATCTAAACCTCAGTTTTAAACTAAAAGATGTAATTATCAAAGTTTAAGATTGTTTTACTCAATTATTTTGTGTTTCTGCAAAAGAATTTAGAGTACAGTAGCCAGTGTTGTCCAGCACCTGTGTTCCATGGCAGCACAGTTCTCAACTTCACAATCTTCAGTTGCAATCAGAAGCAGGATTCCCAGGCACCCCTTCAACTACCTTCAGGCCGTTAAGTTCCCAAAGCACTTCTAAGTGTATTACAAATTAGAAAAGTAGTGAGCATGCCTCTCTCACCTAGTTAACCATGAGTTCCTCCTAAGGAGGACCAATTCTTAATTCTTGGTGTCCCCAACAACAACAAACTCAGGCAACACCAGGTACTTAGTAAGTGAAAACACATCAAGATAGGAATATGTTCTGACATCTCTTTTAGACTTTCTGGACTTGATCATTTTTGTGGCTCACACATCTGGAGACAATTTTTTAAGCAGCTTTATTAAAGTATAATTCACAAACCATACAATTCACCTGTTTAAAGTGTACAGATTCCCAATGAGTTCCCTGCACACAACAAATTAGTCTCTTTTGTTTCCCCCAAACATAGAGGCTCTTCTGTCATCTCATTTACCTTAATCATTCATTAGAAACTCATTATTGAGTACTTACTATATACCAAGCATTCCTACCTGGAATGATGTCTCCTTTTCATTGCTACAGACTTAACCCTACTTCAAAACCTAGCTCAACTAGGTTGATCACCCCAGCTCTTGGAATCTCCCCTTCCCTTAATGTTTGTGGTCGTTGCTCTTTGTCTTTTTGGCATTATGTGTCAGTCATCTTGTTACACTGCTGGTTACTTTCACAAATGCATTAAGTATCTCTGTAACCTAGCACCCTGGCTCACACCTCACATATGTTATGCATTCATGGATACTTTGTGAAGGATGATAAAATCTGGTCCTTTGAAAAGCTGTCCCTCAATAACCCTCGCTTTCTAAGTCCATCAGGAGTGTAGTCACAGGACCTGAAAGTTTTTAAGCGATCTTGCTGACATCTGAATTGTATTACAGATTCTGTGACAAGGTCATGTTGCTGGAACCAAGAGTTCCTTGCCAGGGGCTGGCACACTGTGCCTCTCACAACAATGGAAGATGAGAAGATCTGAGAGGTCTTTGAAATCAAGTCCATGCAGATTAGTACAACACTCTCAACTTCAACCAGGGTTCTGAGCCAATAAAAATATACGTGATTTCCAGCAATCAGGAAATGAATGGTTTTTCAGAAACGAGTTAGGCAGAATACTCTTGCCATTGTGGATAAAGCAATTAACACAACTTGGGAAAGGTCACACTACATCATGCAATGTTCTCTGTGTAAGAGACTGTTGTCATTTCTTGTATGAGTATGTTGTCAATTTTGCTGATGGGTTGTTAATGGGATACACACACACACACAGACATATTAAATAGATTGTTCTTGGGTGTGAGTGGGGAGTGTATAATAGCTCAGTGGTAGAGCGCATGCTTAGCATGCACGAGGTCCTGGGTTCAATTCCCAGTATCGATATTATCTCTGGAACTCCATTCAGTTAATTATTATTTGCAAATAAGCAGAATTGAACTTCATTGGAGGGCCCATAGGAATTACAAAGGTGATTGCCATACATGAAATATTCATGCTGCTGTGCACAGACTTTGAAAAAAAACTGGTTCTGGCTTTATACACAATTATGCCTAAATTGTTAACAGTAAAAGAACTGCATTTTCTATGGTTTCTGTTCACTAAATTTTAAAGCTGATTTTTTTTTTTAATTTCCTTGTTGCACTTACCCTTTTACTTTTTTTCAGACTCATGTTCATCGAGCCAGAGGAAGTCTGCTTTGTACAAGGAGATCCTGGACCTGGAAGGAATAAAAAGTGCCCGTGATGACTGTCCTAAAAAGGCTGTATGTTCATTTCCTACTTTTAGAAGACCGTACTTACAAATCAAGACCATCACTGAAACAAACACATTTATCTGAGACCTGCTCTATCCTGCAATGTTTCATGAACACTGGAAATACATTTTCTTTGTTCTAACCCCAGCCTCTGAATCAGAGCCAAGTAGAGGGGGTTCTTCATAAATATGCATCGACTGCCTGACTCAATATTAATGTAGGGCAGGGTGCTGATTAGCAAATGCTACCTGCAGGAGGCAGAGGAAATACCACAAATAGAGATAAGATGCTATTAGCAGGTTTTATTTTATTTTTACATGAGGCTTGGGAATAATCACTTCTCTCTCTGTTCAAGCCTGTGCAGATCTCTCCCCTAAGAACCTGAAAGCTGTTTACATAAAAGGCCTCCATGTAAGGCTCTTCCATCTAGTGCTGGAGGAAGAGCATAAGATGAGGGAAGAAGCAAATTGCTTCTAATTTAATTTATTCCTTTCTTGCCATCTGAGCCACCCATCAGAAAATACATAAAAACTTACATAACTTAAAGACGAAATAAGCGATAAATAAAAAACACGGAACTTGCTTTGATAACTTGTTAGCATAGATCTCTGTACACAAAATAAAAGGCAACAAGGTTGTGATTATCTCTAGGATGTGAAGCAAAGGAAAATTTACTGTACTTAGATGGATTTTATACTAGGATTCCTCTCCCTTTCTCAGGTAAAACTACTGCCCCCAACTTCCTGCAGGTTTGACTAAAACCGAAAACCCAAAACAACAAAGTCCTTTTTGAAGCACCTGACCCAACAGTTGATTTTATTTCAAGTCCACAGCTTGCGCAGGCTGCACAACACGCACGGGCGGGAGGCGCCGACCCCACTCGCAGGCCGGCCCCTGACGCACGCGAGCACCCCGGGCAGGAGAAGCGCCGGCGCCCGGGGAGCCGCGACCTCAGAGCCTGTTGCTCGTGGGCCACGCGAGGAAGCAAGTGTGGCTCAGGCCCCGAGGGCTGCCAGCGGAGCAGGGAGGCCTGCCAGGCGGCGAACACGCGGTCCCCTGTCCCTGCTCAAGCCAGCCCTTAACCCCTGTCACCCCCGGCCCTTTGGCTTCTCTCCCGCCCACTCAGACCCAACCCCACTTTTCCGACCACGGGCGTACTCCACTGTTAATTAAAACCAGAGGGTGGCGAGAGGGGTATGTCCAAGGACGCAGGAGCCTAGAACACCCCTTCGTCTCCGGCTAAGAGGG